TTCATACATAGTCAAAATGCGATTCGTCACCACATCCTAAACCGTCATAAAAATGTCTAAAGAGATGATTTTAAGACTTATAAAAATACTAACTAAAAGTTCTTTGTAAAAATATTTACAAAAGTGGATAACCACAGTTAAGCTAACTTATTAAAGCCAAGAGATTAGCAATGAATCATTGGTTCGAGTTAAGACCGCTGTCGCTAATTATTTGATTTATATATGTCATTCAAATGAACACTGACTCTACAGTGTAATACCATGCAGAATCAGCTGGCCTTAGCAGAAAAAGTAGGCGTCCTACCTAAAAGTTGCAGAAGGAATAGGCTTCCTTTGGCGCTTCGAATATATTTTGGATTTTAATGTGGGTTTAAACAAATAAGAAGTTGCAAAAAGGCATCTCAACAGAAACCTACATTCTTGATTATAATAACAGTCTCTGAAAGACGCAATACCTAGATTTAATGGAGGATTAATTAAGCACAGGATCGTATTATATTCTCTTAGATCTTAAGGGGCTAGTTCTTTTTCGCGATTTATTAGTTAGAATCATGACCGCAATTTTTTCTATAATCGTAAAATCAAACACCGGGAAGGTTTTTATCGTACAAGTAGATAGACTACGATCTTCAGGAAATTCGAGCATTAACCAAAATGAGACTTCAAATTGAAATCGTGTTTTCTAGCTAGAGTAGTATTTTATGCTCTTGAAAATATAAGCTGGATGAAGAAAATTGCTTTACTACTTTTTCCATATTCCCTTACGCCAATTTTAAAAACAAAGTTTCTATAAAACGCCATGTAAAGTTTGAGGTTAACGGTTGGCCGGCTCGGCGCAAACCACTTTCAAGTGGCATATCTTCCACAATTTTTAAAATCCGCTTTTAAAATATTGCAATAACTTTTTTAGAGCACCTAACCTACCTATCGATTAAGATAACCAAAATAATGCGATTTTTAGAATGTCTTCGAGTACTTTCCGCTTTAAATTCTGGAGTCTTTAAATATTTTTCATTATTTTGACGCACTGAATTGTTATTGTTAAATTATGAATGTGTGAGTCATTAATTACTTAAGTACAAAGATGTTCTATTTCGTTAGAAATTACGAATTACCCAATGTAGAAAATTTATTTGTTTCCATATATTAATTTTTTTTACATATTTTTTAAATGCATTTCAAAATTTATTTTTACTATCAAGCACACCAACACAAAATACCTAACAATCCACGCACCTTTACTATTATCGTTTTTACTTGCGTTGAACCACTGCGTACAATTCACAAATGTCAACTTTCATTTCCGTTGCAATTTGAATATAAAAACTCACCAACACGGACATGCATGCATATATATGTGTATGTGTTTGTGCTTCATGAGATAGCAGATAGCAAGTTTATGAATGCGCTGCTGTTTACTTTTGTCTAGGCGAGTGTGGCATACAATTGTGACCTTGTCGCTCACATTTCCTTCCACTATCAATATGCATGCATGTTTTTGTATAAGCCCATTCACACGCACACATATATGCACACATGCACAGTTTCAGCTCAAAGCTACTACCAATGTGCTCTATGCGCCTACAAGTATGTGAATTTGTTCTCCACTTGTTGGTGTAATTAGTATCATGATGTGTAGCGGTGTTTTTTTCTCTCGTACGCACATTAATTTTTCCACTCCTACACATGTGCACATACATACATATATTCATAGAAATGTTACTATGTTTGCACCTTGGAAATTATTCAAAAGTTTTTCATACGCTTTGCTACCTGCGTATGCTTATTTTCAATTGGATGAATGTGCACAGATCTGTATGTATGGTGTATAATATAGCCTAGCGTACGTCGTTGCCCACAGTATATGCATTATAGTTTAGTTTATATAACGGTTTTTTGTGGTTCATGATACATGAAAAGTTAATTTATCTCATCGCATCGAAGGATTACCTTTTAAAGGAACGCAAACAACTGATAACCACGTCTACGAAATAATATTGTTCCCAAACCAAACAAGAATATTGACTTTGACGATTTTAAATTTCAGTACCAAATCACTTTCTCTCAATAGAACTCGTCAATATCGGAGACTCAAATTGTATTATACCATATGATCAAATCTCAACGCGACGTAAACCAATTACGTCCAATGAATACCAATAAAGTTTCCAATGAAATCCCGCTACGAAATCCTTGATAGTACTGCAGAAATGTTTTGCGGAGTCTACTTTATGTCAAATTAGTGGCACAAAGCATTTAGTGAAGGCCGTGAAGTCATCGAAACCTTGCCTCATGCGAGTCGTCCATCCACCGCTGTTAATGACGATGATATCGAAAAAGTTAAAGAAACAGTGCTTGAAAATTCCCGTGCTGGCATCAGAGAGTTAGTAGAGGATGTCACAACCTCTTATGGATCGGCTCAACACTTTTTGGTTAATGTGTTGGAAGCATGACAATGTTAAAATCGTACCAAAAAATCTGAATCTTTTGCAATAACGACGTCGAAGAGAGGTCGAAAAAGAGATGTTTGAAAACATAGCTGAAAAATCTACATGCATCGGACGCATGATTTCCGGTGACGAGACGTGGGTTTTCGAATATGTCGCCAAAACTGTCCAACAATCTAGCAAATAGCGCTCCGAACGAAACCGAAAAAATCAAAATTCAATGGCACTCAAGGCCACCCAAGCCGAGAATTATAACAAGCCAGGAGTCTATTTTGATGGACTCTTATTCAAATACTAGTCATAATAGTCAGTCCAAATTTGATCATATGAATCCTGGAATACCGTTATTTTCTCTTTACAGTGTACCATGCAAAACAGAAATAGTATTTATTTTTATTAATCAATTTCGTCCGTACTTTTCCGTCCTCATTTACATTTTTTTTATTTTACAGCTATTTATTCATATGTATTCGAAAGCATATATATTTTGTGAAAATTCATTATCATCGTGTTTGCATTTCACTTAAGCTCACTGTGGCCACTCAAAACGCTGCCAACTGTAACTCACCAGAGCAGCTTGACTGACCCCCAACCTCCTTTCGTTGCCTTTATGAAACGAGTATGATTTTGACATTGGCTCTGAGTCTGAGTTTTTGTAATATATCAGCAATACTTAATTCTATCCTGAGGGTATTAACTCACAAACGGCTTCATACTTTATAAGCTTAGAGAATTTTCATACTTCAGGAAGGGATTTGCTTGCAGCTTTATGCATTTTTATGATATTAGTTTTCTTTAAAGTATAACACATATGTTTAGCATGCTGCGTTTACTAAAATATTTTGGTAAATCTTAAGGTCACTGATCTACAACAGACTACTGTTGGTATTTTCAATTCTTTACATATCAGCTCTGAACAAATGAAACATCGCTAATCACACGAATATAAGCTATTTATTTTAATAGTCATAATGCTGAACTTTGAGTAATGATATTTCGAGCCGTTGAAAAAATCAAACACTTGGAGGCTCGCGCCGTCATTTTGCTGACAAGGTGAAATACCTGGACAGAAAGCTTTCATGGAGCGTTTCGGATTTCGTTTGGCGGGAGGCGCTCGGAAAAGTGACGCTCGCTATAAAGCTTGAACAATGATGACACTGAACCCACGGATGACTTCTACACACAACCTCCATCGACAGTTGCAGTACTACGAAGGTTGCTGTTAGACTCATAAAAACTGGGTAAATGAAAGAGTCTATACTGCGACAATTTCAAGTTCATTCCTTCTTCGACTACACATCTGAAAACTTAGATCACTGCAGCACAGAATCTTTTTCTAATATCTTTTTTCTGCTCATATACCGACGACGAAAATATACATAGGTGTGGCGAAGTCACGGGAACAGGGGCGCATTTAGCTTTTTCACGGATGGGTCGAAACTTAGAAGAAAGGTTGAAAATAGGGTTATATGGAATGAGCTCTTTCTCAAGTATAGTTTTAGGATACGGATCACTAATGCGTTTTTCAAGCAGAGGTGGCTGCCATTAAGGTAGGAGTAGATGTTTTGTTTTGAAGTGTCACCTTTTTTAGGGAGGTAAGTATTCACTTCGATCTCTATTGACCCCTTGCGTTTTAACGCTAAAACTCTCGTTAAATTAAGTAAATTAGTTCTCAAACAAAGCACAAACTCAAGTAGTGATGAAATTCAAGTGATAATGAAATTTTTAGGCTCCTACCCAGCGCAGTGCTCGCAGTACTAAAAACCAGTTTTTCTCACTAGAAAAACGAGCACACGATGGAAACAAATGCCTCCAAGATTTACACTATGAAATCGGTATTGAAATATTGGAGACCCGTTTGGACAAAGCCTCTTCCTCGCATGTAGTAGAGCTTCCAACAAATCTTACGTGAATTTTTAGTAATATTTGGTTCGGAGTTGTGGAATAAGTGGAAATATAATGATACATTTGTCGATACCGCCGATATCGGACCACTACAGGATATAGCTGTCATATAAACTGAACGATCGGAATTAAGTTTTTGTATGAAAAGCTTTGTCATTTGATGAGATATCGAAAGAAATTCGGCATGAATTATTGTCTAAAGTGATTGCAGGAAAAACTTTTCCACTTATATATATATATTCAAAAAATTTAGCATCGATTATTGTCTAAAGCAATTATGCAATATCCGAAGAAATCATACAAACTGACCAATCAAAATCAAGATAAAGATCTTTTTATACTCCTTTATGCTATAAAAAATGCATCTGTGAAGGATATTATATCTTCGGTGCAACCGAAGTTAACGTTTTTTCTTTTTTGTTATGTTCTGGGCTAAAACAGGAATATCGATACTGCTCATAAAAACAGGAATATCGATACTGCTTATAAAAACTTACGTGAAGAAGTTATTTATTACCAAGAATCTCTAATTCTCAACCAATTTATAACAGCTCCCATTTAATTTAAAAACTCTAACCTTATCTTAGTTAATACTATTTCTAACTTTATACAACTATTACTAACTATTTGGAATTCTTTCAATTTCAGTTTACCTATACCATGGCTAATTTATGGCATCATCTATGATGCACCTGTCGAGGTTAACTCTGTGGGCATGGTCTGCTCTATAACGATACTTTTCATGATGTTACTCTTTGTCGTTATGTCGATTGCCTGCTTCCGTTGGAAAATGAATAGGGGACTTGGTTTTACAATGTTTTTGTTATATTTCGTTTTTGTTGCTGTTTCGTTAATGTTCGAATATGATACACTCCAATGTCCAGTGTAAAATGTGACAAGTGAATATAATAACACACACAAAAAGAAATAAAAATAGAAAACAACAACTAAATAAAATAGCAAGTTAATATAAAAAAACAGTAATATATATATAATAATTAATATAAATGCAAAAAATATGAAAATTATAGTGCAGTTAGGTGATTGATTGAAGTAGTTTTAATAAAATTATAAAACCACTATATTAATTTCAAAAAAAATTAAAAAGAGTTGATAAATAGAGAGCAAAAATATAAACTACAGATAATAATAAAACTATTATAGTGAAAACGAAATGTAAATTTTAAGTAAAACTGAATGACATAAAGCGAATAAGCAGGTGCGCAATTGAAGAGCGTTGCAAACGGCTTTCATATAATTTAATAAATATATATAGTATATATATAAAGAAACAGACAAGTGCATAAAATTGTAGCATAAGCGTTATTTCAAAATCAATATTAATATAGAGACACACATATATATATATAAATATATACATATATATAGCAAACAATTATAACTCTTGAATACTTTCACAAGCTATAACTAAATACATACATATACATATATAATATATTGTAATTGTTACATTTCTCGTCTTTTTTCATGCGCTCCTCCTATACTCTCTTCAAATATCATATTGTAAAGAATATTTACTGAATTTTATAGGCAAATTTTTATGAATTGTTAGACCAAAATAAAAAAAAATTGAATTTATTTTTTAAGTATATGAAAATGTACGTTGTTGTAGTTAACATAAATATATGTATGTATGTATATTGAAAAAAAATTAATATGGCACAAAACTAAGATTTTTTTTCCTAATTTTCCGCAGACAATGTTGTACATAACTATTTACTTAATAGCACGAAACACAACTGAAAAGTATAGTACTTTCGTTTACTTGTTGTCAAATCCAAAAAAAGCTTTCACAGCTTCGAAAGCTGCAACATGATAAAAAGGCTTGTGATTTTTATAACAGCTTTGAAACACTCAAAGCTACTTACTTCAATAAAGTGCAGAACAAAAGCTTTCAGCTGTGTGCGCGCTAGTGCTTTAATGGCACTATAAAAAGCGCTTCTAAAGCTACTTAAACAATGAGAACTTTTTAAGCCTCACACATTACCAAGCTTGCTTATGAATGGTAAAATTTTGTAAGATATTTATTTTTCATGAATTAAAGCCAAGTCTGTTGTCTGTATTACCGAAATCTTTTATTATACCCTGAACCAGGTATATTAAGTTTGCCACGAAGAATATTGTCCAATGCAACGGTAAAATCTCCGAAGAAATTGTTCAGATCGAATAACTGTAGCGTATAGCTGTCATACAAACTGACCTATGAAAATCAAGTCCTTGTATGAAAAACTTTTTTATTTAACCTGATATCTTCACGGAATTCATCGGAGTTAATTTACGATACAATCTCTGAGGACAAATTGTTCAGATGGGACCACTATTGCATATAGCCGCCATACAAATTGAAATCATAATCAATGTTTTGTATGGAAAACTTTTGAATTTGACAAGATATATTGTATTCACGAAATTCGGCATAAATAAGCAACAGTATAATATCCGAAGAAATGGTTTAGATTGAACCACTATAGCATATTCAAGTCCTTATGTGGAAATTTTATTTATTATTCTATGTAAGGAAAAATTGAACCTGTGAAGGGTATTATAGGTGCAGCCGAAGTCAACATTTTTTTTTTCTTGTTATTAAAATTTTTAAAAAAACTTTGTTATTAAAATTATTAACCAAATATGTGAAAAAATAGCAATTCATCTAAACGCATTTTTCTAGTCATTTCATACAATTTTCTAGCGAATAAAAAACGTACTAGTTACTTAGTTAGTATGACAAAATGCTGGCATGAAAGCTCTAACAAAACTTTACTTTATTGAAATATTGAAACTCTACTAATTTGCTAAACCAAAAGAAAAACGTTTAAGAAAAGCTAACTAAACCAAAGAAATTGCGTAATATGAAAATGTATACAATGCGCATGCGCGCCTGTTAATTGAAAATTTAACACAAAAACGGTTAGAAATCGTATTACAAAAATTTTTTAAACATTTACATAAGCTTAAATAATCTTTAGTAAGTTCGCGTTACATTTATTAGGCAAATATATTAGCACTAATTTAATAATCTTTCACTGCTCATTGTATGCAGAAGACACCCAAATTACATAAGTAAATACTACATTAGAAGACTAACTACACGCGATCTATGCCTGTGCATAGATTTTTAGTTAGGTTAATAATGCGCTCTACAGCAAAACACTTGCTAAACTCATGCTAACCGAGTACGCACATACATTTCGCTTCTTTAATTTGTCGAAAAAAATTTACATATATTTCATTTACTTGTAGACCTACTTTTATAGCCACGTTAAACTCCTTGAGCTAGTTAAATTTAAAAAGAAATAATTATAGTATAGAATTCTGTTTGCTGACAGAATTAATTGTTAACAATTTAGAGCGTTAGAAGATTTGTAAGAGAAAGTAGCAATTTGTACAAAGTGAAATTAAAAGAAAAATTTAAAATAGATGATAATGATGAGAAACCCGTTAAATTTTTGCAAACAACGCAAGCAGTTAGTATATATATATAATATATATTTAAAAAATCTATAGGCATTTATGACTTAATAATGAGGAAACAGCCATTTAACTTACTTACATAAGTTACAAAGCAAAAAAAAAATTATAATAAATAAAATTATAATATTAACAACAACAAAAACATAAACTCAATACGAAGCAGTTAGTAGAAGTCGAAAAAGCAACGCACGTATGCATAATGAAAACTCTTTAGAACATAACTTTTAAGAAAGCAATAACTTATTATGTGGAGCTAAACCAACTAAAAGCTACGCTAAAACTAATACATATAAAGTTGAATGTAAAACTTAACAAAAAAACATATTTTAACTTAATACTAACTGAGAAATTGTTTAATTTTCGCTGAAACTAAACAATTCCAGAAAAAAGTTATATAAAAAAAAAATATAAACAAGCACAGACGTAAAGTATTGTATGAAATGAATTACTTGAGACAACAACAAATACGTATTACACTTAAAACAAACATAGACTACATACTTACAAATATAAGTAAAAAAATCAACATACTTACATACATAGTACACATTTTACCTTAGTGAGTCCAAAAAAAAAAGAAGTTCTAAAGAACAAATTTCAAACGCATAAGTTTCATACTTTACACACATTTTCCACACTTTTCATATGTTGACTTGACTTACGACTACTTAATTACTATTAAAAAACCTATTAAATATAAAATTTAATAACAAAAAAAAAAAATTACAAATTCGTAAGCAAAAATTAATAATCTTCCAAACATTTACCAAAAGCAAACTTAGTAGTTGTACTATAAAAGACCAAGAAAAGCATAACTAAATATAACTTATTTCAAAAAAAAATAAAAATAAACTACAAGAAATTGCAAGAAAACACATATTAAACATATCCTACACAACACACATGCGCTCTAAACGACACTACTTAACGATTTAAGCGACCGCACCAACTAACATACGAACACAAGTGAAACCGACGGACTCACACAGACTGCACACGAACTCTTTTGACGCTTATTAACCTGCGTTCAGACGAGGACTCTTTTTGTTGTTCATTAACGCCAAATTTTCTATTGGTGTCGCTCATTGCGTACACACAGGCGACATGACTCCGACAACTCGAGTCTGGACATTTTTCTGCATTCCCTTTCATATCACATTCTCAAATTCTAGTACGCTTCATGTAAGCATTGCACAAAAATATTTCCCATTAAATAATGTTTTATAGTTCCTCCTTTTCAAAAATACTTCTAAGGCTGCGTGTAGACAATGACTATTTTGTCGCTCATGAACGGCAAATTCTCTTTTTCACGAGCGACACGACTCCGACAATTTTTTTGCATTCCCTTCCATTTTCAAATTATTTTACTCGTGGCACAAAAATATTTTTCATTAACCAATTTTTATATAATACTTATACACCCTTTTCGAAAATATTTTTTTTTAATTGTGCATATTACTGAGGTTGAAATCTTGAGGATCTTGAGTTAACCAAGAAACATAGCCGAAATTGCTGCCTTAGCAAATTTGTGGTAGCCTCAAAATACATTCTAAATTTTTGAGGGTCTTATGTTCAATTATATAAGAGTGTTAAGTACCCAAAACCGGCATTCTAAGCTGTCCAAGTGTGAACTCTATTAGGATCGACCGCTTAACCTAACCTTACCTTTGCATGTTATATACAAAAAATAGATAATAAAATTTAAACTTCCAAACATATTGTAAATATTCGTATGAAACCAAGCGTAATTGCAACCTTGCAAAATTTCAAAATGAAAAGGAATGCCGAATTGTGTAGCAACGAACTGTTACAAACACGAACAAAGCGTGCCAGCCAAGCACGAGTGACACGATCCCTTCGGCTTTTCTCGTCGTACTTTTGCCTACAAAAACCGCTTTGGGCGACAAAAGAGTCCATGTGGGAATCAACATAGAGCGAACTTAAAAAAATTTACAATTGACAGACATAAAGCTACGAAGACGTAAACAATTCGCAAAGAAATGCAAGAAAAAAGAAACAAATTGAACACTAGAATACTTGAACACAACAAAAACTTTAGCAATATTGCAAATTTGAACGGGATAATGCTTTAATTGAGACTACAATGCTAAATCTGGAACCATATATCACTTACCACTTAACCACTAACCCGAAAATAAAAATGGCGCGCAACTATCAGGCCCATAATTATATATAATAGTTAGCATCAAAATTGACTTTTGCATATAGCAACAACTATTTGACATTTACTTGTATATGCAGAAATCTATCTAAACTCAAAAAGTTACTACTAACTCTCTAAAGTCTCTCGAGTCCGAGTCTACTAAAAATATGCATATGAGTATTTCGACTATGTTTGTTTAAGCGTCGTATAAGCAAACAAGCTGCATAAAGTAAAAGCAATGTAACGGTTTAGCTGCAAATGCAAATGTAACGGTTTAGCTGAAGTGGCGTTACGTAAAGCGTAAGCAGAATAGAAAAAATAAACAACAAATTGTTATGGTTATAGAGTTTTAAAAACAAAAGCAAAATTACATAAAAATATAAAAAAAGTAAGCATAATAAATAACACACCAAAAAAAAAAAATAAATGCATAACATTTACTAGATGAAGAGAGAGCGTGAAAAAATCAGAAGAAAGCAACAGAATTGCATACAAAAAAATTGTTGAAAATTAGTCACTTCATATTATTATACACTTAATAAAAATAAAGAAAAAAAAACAGAAACATAACAAAATAATAATAATGAAAAGGAATAAATAAACAAATGAATATTATTATTATTATAATTATTATTATTATGATTAATATTATAATTATATACATACATATAACAAAATCATTACCAACGTACATACAACTATTTGAATTTTGAATGAAATATTTGAATAAAATGCGTTGTTTGAAAAAAAATATACGCGATACTTTTTTCAATGGGGAACACCTTTGATAACGGATTTTTGAATGTACCTATATAATTATTTGTCTGATGATCTTAACTGCCTAAGTTGTTTGCAGTCATAATATTGGGTCTATAACTATATTCGTACGTTTTTTTTTTCAAAATTTGATTATTTAAGAAAACCATGATACCAATATACTTTTTTTAAGTATTACCCAGCTTAAGCTATAGCATTTTCCAATCTTCATGGTATTTTGTGGAGTCCATCTTAAAAGATTTGTGCCGAATGAACCAAGTCAAAGTTTTTATACCCTGTTCTGATGTGAACCCCCTTCCTGTGAGAGCATTCTTAACCGTAACAAATGGTAGCCAGAATGGAGCAAGGCCTAGGTTATAAAAGAGGCTCCCTGTCTGCCGCTGTTTTCCAAATAGTTTTTAACCGATCTTGCAACATAAGGCTGATAATAATAAATTATTATCTCGTGTCTTCTCGCAAATTTCGGGCGATTTTCGGCAATCACTCTCTTCAATTGGTTGAGTTATTTGCGGTAGCGTTCCCTATTAATGGTTTCAATTGGTTTTAAAAGCTCATAACACAGCAATTGCTATCGGATCCTGCCAAAAACATTACCTTAGCATCATGGATATTCGGCTTTGCCTTTGATT